CAGTGTCACATTAAAAAAACGAGGCCGTGAACTTAATTTGATGGTTAAGTAATGGGTTTTTAAATAATTTCCCATGATAACTCATTAGACTATAGTTTTAACCCAAATTGTATGGTGTTTGGAAAAAATATAAAGCGCGGCAAACAAACAAATTTTTTTGTCCTATCTTACCCCGTTCTCCCCTATCTCGCGCAAGTTTTAAAACGTCTAGCTACACTTTAGTATATGATCTGGTTGGCATCCAAAATTAAACAAAAATAAACTAAAATACAAATTTTCTTAGATAATTGATTTTCCTTAAATTTTTTTAGATAGGATTATAGTTTATTCTAAAATTGCATGAAACTTTCTACTAATTTTTTTTTTCTACTTTGAAAATTTCTACAAGGAACTATTATTCTTTGTAAGGTGTATGTTACAAAATTTGTTATTCTATCAGGGAGTTGCTGTTTTGAAAAACCAATGATATGAATTCTGTTTCAAAAAATATTTTAGATGTTATGATAACTTGTAATACAAGTTGTATGTTTTGTGGTCTTATATTTCTTTTGAAAATTTTTATGTGATCAAATTCATTTAAATTTAGAATCAGTAAGAGAGTCAAATAGAAAAGCAAAGACAATTATATGTGATACAAATCTATATAATTAAAAAAATCTGAAAAAAGCCATAAAATATCAACGCAAGTCACAAATTATACACATGAAGAAATAGTCTAGCTGATTAAAACGTTGTTATAAGAAACACTTTTGTTACAAATTTGTTGTGTTAGGAAACTTTGCTAAAGAATTACTTAAAAGAGTATTTATAAATTCTTAAATAAAAGTAAGCAAGCTTCAACTTTTAGTCGGCAAATATGAAAATATTTAAAAATACGAAAAGATCTTTATTTTTTTATTTGGAAAAAATATTTAAGGTTTGGGTTAATAAATATTTAAGAGTGGGTTCTAATTTCAAGTATTAGAACTTCAGAAAATAATAAGATTTTTTTATAATAGGTAAAGACCTTTTGTCGTAATTTTGTTATTAAATGATTTTTTGCAAAATCTAAGATTAATTAATAGTTTGATGTTATTAACTTTTTGTTAAACTGTTTTCGTTGCATCTGTTTATAAGGTAGATTACGGTATTATAAGCGCCTTAAGCGAAAATTGAAATATTTTGAAAAGTAGTTGGGCTTGATCCAAAATTTCTGCGAAAATACAATTACCCAGTAAGTAGACACTACTTGGCCCAATAGCGAACCAGGCTCGGCTGCCGAGCTGTACCAGGCCTGTCACGCCAGTGCCGTGGTTAAATTCTTTTAATTTACTTTTTGTTAATAATTTACAAGTTAATAAATTTGCATTAAAAATAATTAAAAAATAAATGCATTAAGTTTATCATTAACAATATAAATACTTGTAAAGCTTATAATTATGTCAAATATACAATTAATATAAAACATAACATATAAAACAGATCATGCGAGACTTTGAGAACATTATACTTTGTCAGATTAATCAAAAATAAAGCGTTCAAATCGTGGTAATGATAATCCAGATAAAGGTTTCAATGTCAATGATTGGACAGTATAGCCACGATTTTTTGTTGAACTGGTTTTTTGGATGGACTTCTTTTCTTGCTTTTTCTTTTCTGCCTCTATTTCCGTCTAGAGCTCCAGAAAAAAAAGCCACAACTGCCTTTTAAATTTCGCTGTATGTGGTATCTTTTGTCAGCAAACTTTTTCGTATTGCTTAAACGCAGTCATATATCAAGTGTTTTTATAAACAAAATTATAAGAGTATAGCTAAATATAGCTGTTGTATATATCTGTATATGTCTATATCTGTATTTCTCTCTCTTTGTTTATATATATATATATATATATATATATATATATATATATATATATATATATATATATATATATATATATATATATATATATATATATATATATATATATATATATATATATATATATATATATATATATATATATATATATATATATATATATATATATATATATATGTATATATATATATATATATATACATAAACATATGGGCAGGATTAAAAAGTTTTTTCTTTTTAAAAGGAATGACTTTTATAAACTAAATTAGAAATTCAAAAAAAAAAAAAAAAAACGTTTAGAAAGGGGCAATAATACCTAACATGCTACCCATAAAAACTTATTTAATTTTAGGTAAAGATATTGCATGTGGAATAACAACTTTTTTTTTATAGCCATGAAAACTTGTGTCACGGAAGGAACCTATCGTTCCTTCCTTGACACAAGTTTTTAATGTCTATAACTAAAAACTTAGAATTCTACTAACAATGTCTTTTCTCAAAATTAAATAGATATTTATAGTTAGTTTGTTAGGTATTTTTACCCCCTTCTAAACCTTTTTAACTTTTTTTTAATTTCCAATTTATTTTATAAAAACAATTCCTTTTGAAAAACACGAATTTTTCTCAAATCGAGCAGGTTTTGATTCAAAAATCGAATCAAGAATCAAATCAGCAATTTAAGGAATATGAGTTAAAATATTTCTTTAAACTATATATTTTAAAAGAAATAAAAACTCTTTTTTGGTGCTTTATGTAGTTTTAAACAATTGGTAACAATTTTTAACAATTGGTAACAATTTTTAACAATTGGTAATTGTAAATTGTGGTACAACCCTCTCTCAACTTTTTAACTCCGAAAGAGGAACCTTGACAAGCAAGGCCGCTGCGCGGAGAACTTAAGTTGAGCGCGGTACTTCCAGGGACATGGTGGGAGTGGAACTCCAAACCTCTCGCTTACAAAGCGAGAGCTCTTACCACTACTCCACTACCACATATTTAATATAATGTTTTGCCTTAAATTATTTTTACTGAACATTGTAATATCTTAAGGTATTATTTTGTATTTCATGTATACTTTTTAATGTATACTTTAAGGTGTTTATAATATACCATAAAAAAATTCTGTAAACTATATTTTAATATTAGACTTATGTGTTAAGAGTACAGAAGTAACCTGATGAAAATTATGATAGTGTTTTCACTTTTATTTAGTAGTCAAAATACCTTAATCACAGAGGTAGTTATGATCACTTTTTCCAATTTTGTGTTTTTTTTTATTATTATTCACAAGAGTACAGAAGTAACCTGATCAAAATTATGTGTTTTTTTTAAATTACGATATTGGTTTTACTTTTGTTTAATAGAGAGACAGGTGTCTGCAGACAAGAATTTTTTAGTTCTTGATGTTCGATAAAATCTTGTAAGTCACTATTATAATAGTCATCAGGTTACTTCTGTACTCTTAACACATAAGTCTAATGTTAAAATATAGTTTATAGAAATTTTTGTGGTATATTATAAACACCTTAAAGTATACATTAAAAAGTATACATGAAATACAAAATAATACCTTAAGATATTACGATGTTCAGTTCAAAAATAATTTAAGGCTAAACATTAACGGAGTTATTAAGTGTATACTTTTGTCAACAAATAATAATTAAAACTTAGTAAAGTACTTGTTTTACTCAAAGCCAAATTAAAAATAAAGGTTGAATAAATATATAGAATAAAGGAAAATAAATGATGACAATGATGATGAGATCATATAAAATATAGCATAAAAAATACAATATATAATGAATTTTATTTAAATACATAAAAAACACAAATTTGAATAAAATTTTAGGATGCATTAACATTTAAGCAGCTCTGGTCATAGATCAGCAAATTAAATTAGTGAAATTTTGTGTGATATTATGCTGAGAAGATCAAAATGCTAAATCACCCTCTAGTTCATCTACTTCAATATTCTTATCAATTTTATTTGAATTGTTATCAGAAAAAGCTTTAAATTCACTAATTTTATAATCAATTTGATAAGAAATATTGAGGTTATTATCCAGTCTTTCTTTAAGTAGTATTTTTATGATTATATCAGACTATTATTTATTGGATATGGAAGAACATCATTGTGTAATATTGAGCAACATTAAAAAAAAAATTTATGTACCACTGTCACTCCAAGATCTGGCAAAAAACCTGTACTAAAATTATTAAAAATCTCTTAAAAGTCTACTTAGTTGTCTACTATTTATAATATATTTAGTATACTTTTTTATAAAAGATATATAAAAGTTTCATATAGTAGTTGTTTTTTTTCAGATTTCGTTAACAATTTTAATCAAAATTTACCTAATATTTTTTGTTTGGTTTAATAACATTTCTACTCAATATAAGAAAATATCAATTTCGTATTTAGCCAAAACTAAAGGTGAAATAATATAATTATGTAAATGTGTGAAATTTGAAATTAGATAAAATTTCTTTGCCTTTTATTTACATTGTTTATTACTTAATATTAATTATTTTTTTTTGTCAAAAAAAAAATATTAGGCTATACCGAGAATTAAAATTACTTTTTAGTTTTAAAATTACGAAGTTATTATCTTTTTCGCCGTAAAAAAGTAGGCCTCCACAAAAAAATCTGGTTGCGCGATGAATAGGCCTGTAGTAGAGAACGCAATATTTAAAACGCATTTATTATTGATTTCTTGCCCCAACCAAACCCTGACCCAAATCATGTACATTTAATTCCCATATACATTTATTTTCGCCAATTTGTCAGTAGATGTATGTACATTTATTTTTGCCGATCCCTATTTGTCAGTTAATGTATGTACTTTTAGTTGCGCCGACTCCTATCTGTCAGTCGATGCATGTACATTAGTAATTAATTTTAGAAAAATAGTAAACGACAATAAAAACCGTATCGCGTAGTTAAAAAATTAATTTCTTAAATTTTAAAAACGGTGTTAAAATGTTTTTAAGAGATGGTGGAATATTAGCGTTTTTAATGTGGATTTTTATACTTTAATATCAAATTAGAGTACTTTCCTCAAGTTTTCAGACCTATGTTTTTATTTGACTTAGAATCAGTACAGTCATTCTGGGTAACTTTGAATTTGCGGGTAACATTGAACTAAACGTGTAAATGTTTTTAAATTTGTTTTTCTTTGGTATTTTCTTTGCCTGTTGCTTTAACAAAGAATAATATGATAAATTATCTTTTTTTACAAAAGTTTAACCAAAAAAAATTAAATTTTATTTCTCAAAAATAATGTTTTCCTCCATTTCCAGTTACACAGTCGAATGTGGTGATAACATCGTGTGTTTTCAATTTAGAATATTTGGTATTATATTGTAATTATCTGAATAGATTTTTAAGCATTTTATTGAATTATTTTTCGAACTTTAATACAAACTCAAAATAATAGGGTTTAACATGTTTTTTGCTACAAAAAGGATATTTATTTCCACTTAGCTAAAATATAACCAAATTCAGGGTAACTTTAGACAATCAATATTTTCCAAAAATGCTTTTTTTGCTGTCTGAGTAACATTGCAATAATACATAATAAATAAAAGGCATCTTTTTATTATAGTATTTTTATTATATAATGATATATGATATTATAAATATCAAAAATTATAATATCTATTACTAATATATTAATTTTTGATATTTATGGCTATCTTGATAGATTTAATAATATATTTTATTAATAGCAAATATGCGATTAATTAAATAATTTTCATTAATAACATAAATCATCTTTATATTTTTTTAGCATTCATAAAATGCCAAGAAAATGTTCGACAACTCATCCTGGCACAAGAAAATATGGCACTAAATCTAATTACACCAATTCTACACTTCAAGAGGCTTTAGCCAAAATTAAATTATAAAAAATGTCGATTGGTGAAGCTTCTAAAATTTATAAAGTACCTAAAGCAACATTATTTTATAAGCTAAAAAGTAAACACTGTAAATCAGTAGGGCGCCCTATTGCCCTTAGCATTGATGAGGAACTTTGTTTTGAAAATCACTTACTTTATTTAAGTGACAAAGGTATACCAATTGGAATTAATGATTTTAAAAGTATTGTCAAAATCTATCTGGATGATAGTGGAAAAAATATACAACAGTTTAAAGATAACCAACCAGGTTGGGAGTGGTGTAAACTTTATCTTGACAGGCATCCATCATTAAAAGAAAAAGTATCTCAATGTATTTCAAGGAAACATGCACAGATTAATTATTGTCAAATAAAATTATTTTTTCAAAATCTAGAGAAGGAATTAAATAGAGTAACGCTAGATAACATTTACAATATGGATGAAACAGGGTTTCATGATGATCCTGGAAAAAAAAAAACTTATTTTTCGTCAATCCTCTCGCCATCCAGAACTTATAAGAAACACAACAAAAACTTGTTACACTGTTGTTTTTTGTGGAAATGCCTCAGGAAAACTAATTCCACCATTTTTCATTTTTAAAGGAAAACACAGTTGGTCTGACTGGCTTTACAATGCACCAGAAGGATCAAGAATGGCAACTTCTTGCAGTGGCTGGATGGAAATTCAAATATTAGAAGAGTGGCTGTTAAATCACTTTGTTCCAAATATTATAAATAAAGAAGGTAAAAAAATTCTGATTTGCGATAATTTAAGTGCTCTTATATCTTTAAAGCCTTAAATATATGTGAAAAGCATAATATATGCCACTGAGGTAGAAGCATACTATAAGGAAAGAGACAATAAAAAAAAAAGTCAAGATAATATTCGAGCAAAGAAAAAAGGAAGACCACTTGGATAAAAAAATATGGTAAATGTTAATCAAGTTATTGAAGACAATGAACAAGTTTTACCTGTATCTCAAAATGATGCAGTTTTTTCATTGGAGCAAATAAACAATCACTATGTACATGTTTTCCTTGATCATGATTATTTTGTAAAAGAGTTAGTTGTAACTCAAGACTAAAAGAATGAAACACTGTAATATTTAGTTTTATAGTCAATGGTGTTTATTTGTGGAGAATTATATAAAAATAATGTCTTAATTATTTTTTCTTTTATAACCTTAAAAATTATTTTGTGAATATTTTATTGAAAAACTTGTTTGTTTATTCTCGAAATATTTTATTGAAAAACTTGTTTGTTTATTCTAGAAATATTTTATTGAAAAACTTGTTTGTTTATTCTCGAAATAGTTTAACTAGATTTTTTAAAAAATTAATTTAAACTAATACAAAGAAATTTAAACAACTTTTTAGATTTAAAAGATTAAAATTGACATTCAGTTTAATAGTGTTCAAAGTTACCCAAAATGCGAGGGTAACTTTGAACGCCTACTTGAACATTGTTTTTTTACATAATATCTAGCAAATTTAAAAAAATGATAACAAACTAGAAAAAAGAGATCACCAGAACACCCTTTATGTAAAAATATTTGTTATCTAGTTAGTAAAACAATTTTTGTAGAGATAAACCTAGCGCAAACCATTCAAAGTTACCCGTAATGACTGTATCCATGAATTATTCATTTTACACTCACTGTGCCTATAGCTATATAAATCAGTAGATGTATATACGCTGCGATGCGCCTATCTCTATATATCCCAATTTACCTATCCTCTAAATATCCCAGTTTTTAAACGTCAAAGATGTTCAATGTTGGATAAGGGGTTTGAAAAAAGAGTCTACCGTAACTTGGGTGATAAAAAGAATAAATAAATCTAACATGCGGTTTTTTTAAAGTAAACAACAAAATCTTTATCCAAAGATCAAAAATTCAATATTGAATTGTTTGTAATCATGTAAATAAAAATCATTAGGTAATAATATACTTATAAAAATTCTTGGGTTTAAATTGATTAACTTATATTTTCATTATTGATGCTCACCTATTTCTAATTTTAGTACCTTTTTGTTCTGTATTTGCTGACTAAGTCTGCAAAAACAAAACAAAAACAAAACAATAATTTTACAAAAGTCTGATACTTTTGTAAAATTCCTTGTTAATGTATCAAAGTGTATGTTAAACATATTTTATTACCAAACATATGACAACTGTATATAAAGTTTTTTTTTTTTAAATGATCATCATTCTATCTTTTTAAATGATCTGTCTGTTTAAATGATCTGTCTGTTTTAATGATCATCATATCTGTCAAATGAAGTTTAATGTTGCGTGTACAATAAACAACTTTACCTAATAACTTAAGTTTGACTAAGAGCTATTATCTTTGATTTCTTACTGATTTTTGTAAACATAACCCAATTTCTCTGATCTAGCAGACATTCTGTGGAATGACCCATCATAATGATGGGTCATTCCACAGAATGTCTCTAAATTAAATCTAGGAAAACAAGCGGATCAGGATAAAATCATGGAAGTCCACCTTTGAATATTGGCAGACACCCTGTTCCATATGAAATCATTCACACACAAAATTTTACATTTCAGATTAGTTTATTTTTGCAATCTTTAATATCAAGTTCACTTGCATCTTCTACAATCTCTATCTACCGAATTCATTACAAAACCATGCAGTAGGGGAGGTAGGGGAGCATTGGGCAGTTGGGAGGTTTGGGCACCCCCTCATTTCTCACCATCTTTTCTAGATATATTTTGTTTTTTACCATAGCATTATAGTTTTATAATTGGCAACACTTTTCATCAAAAGTGTCAGCTGTCGTTTCACTTGGTTGTCAAGTTACATGCGCTTAACAGTTTGTTGCGTTCAAAAGTAAATATTTTGTTTATGATTTGAAGAAAGATAACAAAGAAATCTGCAAGAAATTGTAAGTATCTGTGTTAACTTCTTCTATTGTGTTTAATGAACATTATATTTACCTGACAATTAGGATTCAACATTTGATAAAAATAAACTTATTCAAATCTGTTTAAAAAGTGAGGTTATGGGGAGCATTAGGCACGCAGGTAGGAGGGAGGTTTGGGCATGCCCAATGCTCCCTCTTTTTTTAGTGTGTTTTTTAGTCATATGTTTGTGTTTTTTTGCTATGACTATTGGATTGAATGGTTAATCATTTCTTTTCAGGACAATGCTGTTTTTATTTAAAAAGAAAAATTAACAATGTGTAATCCCTAAAGATGTTATTTTGCGTGCATTGGAAGAGGTTTCTAAAGGAGGAAAAATTAAAACTACTGCGATTAAATTTGATATACCCAGGTCTAACCTTCAAAGATACATAAAACAGGGTGGCGCTGTGAAAAATACTTCTTGTAAATATATATCATCCCAAATATTCACAAAAGATGAAGAAGAAAAAGTTTCAGATATTTTGTAACATTGTTTAAACTTAACCATGTCAAAACTGAAAGCACGCGAATTAGTATACGAATATGCCACTGCCATTAATAAAAAAATACCAGACAACTGGACAGAGAAAAAACTTGCATCGAAAGATTGGCTAAGGGGATTTTTTAAAAGACAACCTCAGCTTTCGATAAGGACCCCAGAAGCTACTAGTCTCTCACGTGCCACAAGTTTCAATAAGAAAAATGTTGGAGACTTTTTTGTAAATCTTAAAACTGTATATGAACGACATCGTTTTGGCCCTGAGTCTATTTACAATATAGACGAAACTGGATTATCAACAGTACAAAGAACCCAGAAAGTGATTGCTCTCAGAGGCACTAAGCAAGTTGGGCAAGTAACGTCAGCTGAAAGAGGGACACTTGTAACTGTTTGCTGCGGCCTTAATGCATTGGGTAACTCAATACCACCCTTTTTCATATTCCCACGAGTTATTTTCAAAACAGATATGTTAAATGATGCACCTGTTGGTTCAGATGGAGCAGCACATCCTTCAGGGTGGATGACAGCATCAAGGTTTTTAAAATATATACACCATTTTAAAAAATACGCAAAACCAACGCCTTCATCACCAGTTCTATTGCTGCTGGACAACCACGAGAGCCATATTTCTGTACCAGTTTTCGATTTTTGTATAGAATCAGGCATTGTTTTAATAACTTTCCCACCGCACTGCAGCCATAAATGGCAACCCCTAGACCAGACTGTCTATGGACCACTCAAAACTTATTATAACACTGCTGTAACAGATTGGATGGTGAGCAATCCTGGCAAAACGGTAACAATTTATGAAGTCCTAAAATTAGCAGCAAAGGCCATCCCACTTGCATTCAAGTTGCAAAATATTTAAACGGGATTTGAAAAATCTGACATTTGGCCATTCAATTCAAACATTTTCTCTGATGAAGATTTCGTTTGTTCTTCTATAACTGATCGCTACTTGCCGGGAGAGAATAATGTTGCTACAGAAAAATCGATTTCAGACCAACCTATCATGGAACAGCCTTCAACAGAAGAAAATCTGAGACTAGAAGATCGTACTAGTTCAAATGTGGAAGTCACTGGGCCATCTCAACTTGAATCTCTATCTAAAAGCCAGACTAGTGGCACTGTCAATGTAACACCTGATTTAGTAAGACCATATCCGAAAGCCGGCCCCAGGAAATTGGGTGGTATGAAACGGAAGAAAGGAAAAACTAGAATATTGACAGACACACCCGAGAAAAGACTTATAGAAAATGAAGAAAAAAAAAAACAAAGAAAAAATAAGATCAAAGAGCTCAACAAAAATCGAAAATGCTCTAAAAATGAGAAAAACAGGAAGATTAGTAGTGATGATGAAATAAAAAATGTTTCCGATTCTGACAAAGCCTTTGTTGAAATCGATTCATCAAAAGAAGATTTTGATGTAGACGATGTAATTGTTCTGGATAGAAATTTCCAGGTTAATAACTTTGTGTTGGTTAAATTTGACACCAAAAAAACTGTTTATCATTATGTTGGAATTGTCGAAGAGGTTAATCACTCCATGGCAACTGTTAAATTCTTGAGAGCGAGTAAGATAAGAAATACGTTTATGTTTCCTGACATCGAGGACGTAGCCAGTGTCCCCCTGGAGGATATAAAGACAAAATTGCCTACACCATCAACATGGATAAAACGTGGCAGCTTAAAATATGAATTTGACAAGCCTCTTTGGGTCATACCAAATTTAAGATAAGTCTTATTAGGTCCAACATTGTGGAGTATTGATTCCAAGTAACATTGTTTAATCTTTTGTAAAGTCTATGATATGAAAAAATGTTTGTGTTACAATTTTTTATAGCAATGCTATATAACACTTAAGCATATGAGTATAGTAAAACAATATCGTTCATATTAAATACAGTGCCCAAACCTCCCCATAGGGGTGCCCAAACCTCCCAACCACGGGGAGGTTTGGGCACTTTGGACACGTGTTAGAAAACCTTTGATAACTTTGCAACTAATTATAATACTAAAACTCTTCTTAGCAATAATTAATGCCAAATATGTGTGCTAGATATATTTGAAATAAAATTTTGATTATGATAAAAAATAACAGATTTATTAGCGTTTATGTAAAAAAGTGCCCAATGCTCCCCTACCTCCCCTATAGTCTAATTTTTTAATGTTAAATGAAATATCTTCCTTATTTTTGTTTTTTGGAATAATTTAATGTATTCACATTTTTTCTCTATAACTTATTGTATTTGAACTAATAGGAATAAAATGATGATCGTTGTTGTTTTGGAACTGTTCTTGTCAATTCCATTAAAAGTAACTTAGAACAAATGCCTGTTATTTTAAATTTACACAAAAAAGAGATCATCATTCGAATCTGTTTATGTTATATTTAACATCCAAAATCTGCCCATTAGATACTTGTTTTGAACTTTTTTGACAAACTACTATTTTACCAGTCGCACAAATACCATCACAGAAAGATTTGCCATAGCTGGTAGCAAAAAATACTCATTCAGCATTTAAATCAAAGTCTATGCTGTGATAAGATAAATTGAAAGATAAGTTTTGAAAGTTTTAAAGTTACATTGCACAGCCATCAGAAAAATACTTCCCACGTGATACAAAAAAACCATGTGTCATGATTATATTCTTCTGAAAGGTAATAAAAACATTTTTGTTTGAGAAATGTTTTTTCCTAAAAGTAAATTACTATTGTAAAAAGTGAACACTGATTT